TCTTCTTCCTGCGCTTGTATCCAACATCTCTCAACCTCTAGAAACTTTTGAAGTCCAATTGAGAAAATACATTTCTTAAAGTGTTCAGGACGTCAGGCGTTTTTAGGGATGACAAAAAAACCCGATACTCTCGAGGCCCGCCCCGAGTGTGGCGGGGATAACCCGCTTAATCTGGTAACGGGGCGAGGACGGGTAACCTGATACTCGCGGGGCCCCGTCCCATTAAATTATTATTATTTTTTAAATTCAATAGTTTAAATAAAAATTTTCATTAGTTCTAATAGAAAATAGCAACTAAAATTATTTGTCTAAATATAATAATATGGACAATAAAAATAAATTATCAAAAACAAAAAAAAAATTTAAATGAGAAATAAACGGAGTAACGAGGCGGGGAATTTTTCCCCCGTCCCCGCCCCGCCCCGTCAAAAAATTTTTTTTTTTTAGAATTCAATACTTTAAATGAAAATTTTCATTAGTTCTAATAGAAAATAGCAACTAAAATTATTTGTCTAAATATAATGAATATGGGCAATAAAAATAAATTATCAAAAACTTAAAAAAAAAATTTTGAACGGGGCATAGATTCACATAGATTTACACTATGCAGCTGCATAATATAAATCCGGCCGCAAATTTTTTAAATTTTGCGTAATCTTCTAATTTAGTAAAACTCTTGTATGATATATTTTTTTTATATCTTTTGAGACTTAATTTCATTTTTAAGTAGGTTTTATAAGTTCCATATAAATAGGATTTATTATATTCATTGTAAACACACAATTTGAGAGATATCATTGTAAGACATATTGCTTTCTTCTCGTTCTTCATTAAATTAATTTTGAACTTATCAAGATTATTTCTTGTGGTGTTTAACAAATCGAGTGATATTATTGAGTCTTGTAATTACGGGGTCAACATATTCTCGGCGATTATGCTGGTTCTCTTATTCAATATTTTAAAATATAGTTGGCCTGTATTGAAATAATTTATTATTAATTATTAATTTCATTCTTTATTATCATTTATTCTAATTTTTAATGCACAAAGCCACAAAGTGTGTGCCAGCTTTTTTTTTTTTTTTTAAATATGCAAAATATGATGTTTGAGTTCATTCTCTTAATAATGTTGTTGTTACAAATTGGGCCCGTAAAACTAAAGACGCATGGTATTAGAATTCAAAGCTCAAACAAACCATTTTTAATATTCTATAGCTCAACTGTCTAGTTAAGTTTAAGATTCACGTTTTTAAACAAGTCCCGTTATGTAGAGCATGTGGAATATAAAATAAAATAAGAGTTTAAACTATTACTCTTTAAAAAATTTGTCACTTTAAAACGTTAAGACTCAATACTAACAACCATAAACTAAAGAGTAATGCTATTTATCTCCACTGAGGATGAAAACACAGTTTACCTCGCGTTAATGTGATATTAAATGATAAGTGAAATTAAATAAATCATTTAATTTCACCTTTCATTTAACCTATCGTTTAAAACCACTTAAACTGTATTTTCATCCCCACTGGAGATGAATAACATTACTCAAAACTAAATACCAACATTTCTTCTATCAAAATAAATACACGTTCGTGCATGCACACAAATAAGATAATAATTATAATTTTAAAATTTATTTGAGAAAAAGCTTTTACTTTCTAAGACAGTGTGCCACAGAAAGCCAAAACAAGGAGTGGTCTAATCTAATGAGTCATAAATGTTGCACCTGCTTCATCCATCTTGTATTTATGATGCCTCAATCTTAAAATTAATTAATCACTGGAAGGCATTTAAGATTAGTTTGAAAGGTGTGCCCTGCTGCTCGATTGACGAGGGTAAGAGCATGTTTGTCTCATCTTAAAAACTTTACTTATAAGTAAATAAGCACCAATAATCCTTTTTATTACTCAATTCGTCTAATTTACATAAGCTCACTTTCCTTATTTTCTTGTCCTAATTATATAGTCTTGTTTATTTATTGAGAATGTTTTGTTTGTTGGTTTACTAATATACATTTATTTCTTTACTACTTCAAATAATAATTTACTATTATTTATTGATAATTAAACGAGGGTAAATTAGAAAAGTTTTTATCAAAAAATTGTTTTTCCAATAACATTAAATAAGATTTCTTAATTCATGTGAAAAATAAAGCAAGTCTATATGAATGAGACGGAGGGAGTCCAAATTTGTTTTCCACTAAATAAATTCTTTTCTGCCACTCCATTTGATTCAAAATAATTTACTGAAAGATCAAAGGAAAGTTGGGAGATGTTTACACAAGCACATAAAATAATAGAAAAGCATTTTGCATAAACTTTGAAAAATATCTCCTACTTATTGGTTTTGTTCCAAGCTAAAACAGTCTATTTTGCTAGCTATCTAACTTACACTATAAGGAAACTGATTATAAAAGGGAAGATTGTAACAGAAAAAAAAGTCATCCTATAATATTTAGCTGCCTTGGGAAGCATTATGACTTGTGAGTATTTGTACATTATTTGAAGTGAAAAATGATTTTCTTAAATAATGTATGATTGAAAATGAATTTGAGAAAATTTTCAAATAAGTTATGCTAAACAAACCTTAATTTGTTCACGAGCATTAAGGCATTGCATAATCTGCAATATCGTTGTATACACTTGAAATCAGTGTTCAGTTTGGTAAGATGATTTGTACTGTACCCGATAGTGTGAAGAAGTGTGAAGAAAGAAATTAAGAGTAATGTCTTATAACTCGGTTTAATATTACGTACCAAAATGTGAGTAGTTGAGAGTTTTACTTTATGCCAGATATTTTCATCTTTTCAATTAGAGTAATGTTATTTAGCCCTACTAAGATTATAACCTTAGTCTACGTGCCATTAAATGATAAGTTAAATGATATAAGTCATTTACTCACACATTTCATTTAACCTGTCATTTAATGCTACATTAGTGCTACATAAACTGGGGTTATAATTCCGGTTGAGCTAAATAATATTATTCCTGCCTTTATATATATATGATAAGGGCTTTGGTTTTCTTGAGCTCACCTGTAGTTGTGCATGGAAATTATAAGATTGACCAGCTATTATTATTTGCTCATATTTGTTTACACTTAACAAAGTTCTCTCTTTGGCTTCCTTAAACTACTTGTGCAGAATTGAGGCGTCAAACACTGAAAATTGAGTGACTTCCTGTATCTAAAATCATGGCTGAAGAAGACAAATATACGAAAGATGGTACGACAGATTATCGTAACAGTCCTTCAATCAAACAGGAAACTGGGACCTGGAAAGCATGTCCTTACATCCTTGGTATGTTTTCTTCATTTCGTAGAAGCGTACATAAGGATTTATGTCGTAAAATTTGACAAAGTTTTACTGCGGGCAGGCCTGCCCTGAGCCAAATAGGGTTTATTTATTTTATAAGGTTAAAAAAATATTTATGAATATATACATTTTTTTTGTCCGCCTGGCTCCACCCCAGCTGGCCGTTAATCTATGGCAACCCTCCTCCTTTCCCCGGACTTATGACAGGATATGAAACAGTGTTTTGTTGTTATTGTTGTAGCTGATGAGAATTTGATTAAAGATAAGTGAAACGCTTAACATCTCTCATTTTTCTTCTTTTTTGTTTTATGTTTCCAATTTTGTTTGGTTAAATAGGAAATGAATGTTGTGAGAGGTTGGCATATTATGGGATCAACACAAATCTGGTAAATTATCTCAAATTTCAAATGAACGAGAGCAATGTTGTGGCAGTTACTAATGTTACGAATTGGTCTGGTACGTGCTATGTTACACCTCTGCTGGGTGCCTTTCTAGCCGATGCTTATATGGGACGATATTGGACAATTGCAACCTTCTCAATCATTTATGTCTTTGTAAGTGTAATTTTAGCCCAAGGTTTGATCCTCATTTGAATAAACTAGTGTTGGTTCGGGCGTTTTTCCCTTTATGAATCATTGTATACTGAGTATGCATCGATAAATTTCTAAGTCGGTGAGTGTCATTTGATACAGGGGATGACATTGTTGACATTATCAGCATCAGTCCATGGGCTAAAACCGTTTTGTGATGAGAAAAATGTGTGCCACCCGACTGGCCTTCAAACCGGATTTTTCTACCTTGGCCTTTATCTAATCGCCCTAGGTACCGGGGGTATCAAGCCGTGTGTTTCTTCCTTTGGTGCAGATCAATTCGATGATTCTGATGAGGCCGAAAAGAAGAACAAAAGTTCTTTTTTCAACTGGTTTTATTTCTCAATCAATATAGGTGCCCTTGTTGCTTCTACTGTTCTTGTATGGATACAAACAAATGTAGGGTGGGGATGGGGTTTTGGCATCCCAGCTGTGGCCATGGCAGTTGCTGTGGTCAGTTTTTTCTCGGGTACCCGCCTTTATCGCAACCAGAAGCCCGGAGGGAGCCCCTTAATCCGGATAGGCCAAGTGCTAGTTGCATCCTTCAGAAAAATTGGAGTACAAGTGCCTCAGAATAAGTCTCTTCTTTATGAGACTGCAGATGAAAGATCTGCTGTTCAAGGAAGTAGAAAACTTGATCACACAAAACAGTTCAGGTAACATTCTCTAGCGGTGAATAATTGATTAAATTGTAGAAAAATAGAAGTAATGCTCGTTTTATGTTTCTCATTCAGTTTCTTCGACAAGGCTGCTGTGGAGACACAATCAGATCGTATCAAGGGCTCGATTGATGCCTGTCGACTCTGCACCGTCACTCAAGTTGAAGAACTTAAATCAATTATACGTTTGCTCCCCATATTGGCTACTGGGATTATTTTTAGCTCGGTGTATAGCCAGATGGGCACATTATTCGTTCTACAAGGCAACACGATGGATCTTCATATGGGCAAATCATTTGAAATCCCATCGGCTTCTCTATCCCTATTTGACACGATCAGTGTCATTTTTTGGGTTCCTGTCTATGATTGTCTTATCGTTCCTTTAGCCCGAAAGTTCACAGGAAACAAGAATGGCTTCACACAGCTTCAAAGGATAGCAATTGGACTTGTTATCTCCATTTTTGCCATGTTGACAGCAGGTACACTGGAAATGACAAGACTCAGAATTGTCAGAGAGCAAAATTCCTATGATGCTAAACATATGAACATGTCAATATTTTGGCAAGTTCCACAATACTTCATCATAGGATGTGCTGAGGTGTTCACATTCATCGGACAACTCGAATTCTTCTATGAGCAGGCACCTGACGCAATGAGAAGCCTGTGTTCAGCCCTGGCGCTCACCACAGCCGCCCTCGGGAATTATTTCAGTACTTTTCTGGTGAATATTGTTACAGATATAAGCACGAGGGGCGGGGGTCCTGGATGGATACCTGATAATCTGAATTATGGGCACCTGCACTATTTCTTCTGGCTTTTGGCTGTGTTAAGTGTCCTTAATTTAGGGGCGTATCTCCTAGTTGCGAAGTGGTATACCTATAAGAGGGCAGTAGGTCCTTCTATTGATCATACAATGGCATGATCTCCTGCTGCATCACTTTCTTTTGGCTATGATTCTTCTCAAGTATTTCATCATCTGATTAACTGAAGTGATATACTTCAATGTTATGATTATCATATTTTAGTAATTTCAAAAGGGTCTTGCTGGATTTTTCAACCAAGACAGAATTTAAATAAATACATTTGTTCGTTTGTAATAGTTTAAGCTTTGAATCATATGAGTAATTTAACGGAGTTACTAGCGTAGACAAAGATTTTGAAGTCTCACCTTCAAAAATTTATGAAAATGTGCGCATGTTAAGCACTTGATTGAGAAATGAACCACATTTAGACATGAGTAGCATGTTGACGGCAAAATTTGAGTAAATAAATAGCGGCTTAGAGTGAAAATTACTTGTTTACTTCTCTAAAATTTCGTGTGATGAAGAAATCCAACAATCGAGACATATAGGGACAATACGACAATATTTTTAGTTACTAAATTGTACATGTTTCATCACATAAAAAGTTCATATCAATACTGATTCTCAAACTAGGTCATTTAGAACCTAAGCAATCAGCGAGGTATGCTAAAATCATCGTCTATACTCTCACTTGTTTCTAAAAACCTCAAACTTCCACTTTGAAAAGAGAGGCCATCCAAATCTACATGAAATCTTTGAAGTTTTATGCCATCAACACTCACATTAATGCTTTGAGAGTAATCTTGATCCGTTATCAATGGATGACTCGTATGTCCTATTGATTGACTAGAAATGCCCTTGAGTCTTTTGGAATCCATCTTACGAGATTGTTTGGGTAGGAGGTGGTCCGTTGTATAGAGATCGGCTTCAAGTTCTTGCCACACTTGAGTCATCGTAGGCCTTTTTTTAGGCTCTTTCATCACACATCTTAGGCCAAGTTGTCCCATTTTCAACATCATTTCCATGTTGCATCCCTCTATTAAGAGATTAGCATCCAATATTTCCTCAATGTTGCCTCGTTCAATACTAGGCCTTGCCTGCATAGTTTCAAATAAATAAATTATCCTTCATCATTTAACTGTCATAGAAAGCCTAAGTTATTAGCAAAATAAGCACATTGAACGACAGTTATACGAAAAACGAGAGATTTAACTCGATATTTTCGACTTACCCAATCAATGATGTGCAAATTGGCTTGATTCCTAGTTGACTCAATTGCAGGTCTAGCTGCAACAAGTTGCAAAAGGATGACTCCAAAGCTATACACATCAGTAAATGGAGTGAGATGAAAACTTGAACAATAGGCTGGATCAAGATAGCCTGGTGTCCCTTTAACTTGGCTGCTAACATGAGATTGGTCCCCAACTGGGCCTGATCTCACAAGCCCAAAATCGGATACTTTGGCCTCAAATCCTTCTCCAATTAGGATATTGCTTGGTTTTATGTCCCTGTGGATTATGCTTGGATTGACCCCTTCATGGAGGTGAGCTAACCCTAATTTCATTAGAAAGTAATGTTAATTAAAAAGAATAAAAATTTGAAAAGAAGCCGGTACAGGCGGTTTGAGGTGGCCACAGTCATCACAAGCCCACCTGTTTTAACACCGCTATCATACCGATTATTAGGAAATTTATATTGACAAGATAAAAGAGCAAATTCTTCCTTCTTAAGTTGAATTGAACAAATAAATGTTGGGTCCGCATCTTTCTCCCATCTATAAAATGAAACGAACGGACTTCAAAAGTGTCACTCTAAGAATTCTAACAACTTGTTTAATCGACAAATTGTGAATCTGATCTTGCAAATATTTTAATTTAATCGTATGATGAATTTATATCTTAATTGTTTATTACATTTCTTGGTCTATTGGATCTTTAAGTAGATCTAATTCAAGAAGTGAGGAATTGTCTTTAAGTGAATAGTAGGTTAAGGGGTGTCGATTGAAGGGCCGATTTAAACCACGACCCATTCTAAATTTATTATTCATCGAAAAAGGCACGTCTCTTGCAAGAAGTGAGGACTTACCTTTAGCTGCTCCAATGGCTATGTTTACCCTTTGCCTCCAAGTTAAACTTCTCCCTCCCCTTCCTGCAACAACACAGCAAAGATCATGACTAATTATGATCATTTAGAAAATTTTCTAAAATAATTTATTTAAAACTTACCCATTATGTAATCAAGTAAGGAACCATTAGTCACATATTCATACACCAGTATTTTTGCTGTCCTTGGTCCTGTTAAACATAAAAAATAAATATATTCAATAATAAACACGTGTATTCGTTCTATTCATATGTTGTGAACTAAGTAAAACTAATGATGGAAAAAAAAGAATTCAAGGGTTAATTTTGGCATAAATTTTGAGAGGAACTCGTTTGTTTATTTTGGAAGATCGAGATTGATTTGTATTTTCCTTCATAAGAATTTTTAAAATCATATATTTACTTGCCAAAAATAATGTTCGGGTGGATAAAAATTGAAGCTTAAAGTGGTGTTTGAAAAATATTTGTATTGGAGGGAAATTAGTTTAAAGTTATTTCACATAGAAAAATAGATAAATGCAATGATCACTTTAAATATGATTACACTTTATAAATGTATAATCATGTGTAGTATATAGACTCTTTCCACGTGTGCGCGAGTGCATATCACGGACTGAAATGGATTTTGGACTTTGAACTTGTGTGCTTACACTAATGGCTGACCGAAGGGTCCAAAAATTGGCTTTTAGAGGGTTAACGGTTTGCCTTTATTTTATTATTTTTTCAAATAAAAACTTTTCAAATTTTTTTCCTAAAACTCATTTTAATATATCTGTGTTAATTGAGAGATTAACAGCCGAGTGAATGGTGGTCAATGGCATAACTCTTGCCTGTTAATTCTCCATTACAGCTTATTTTTTTTAAAGCCTAAAACTCAGGTGATTATGTCTGTGTTAATGGAAAGATTAATAGCCAAGTTAATGGTGGTTAATGTCATAACTCCTATCCTATTAATTTTTCATTACAGCCTATTTATTTAGTTATCTTCATTCCTTACAGACACACGAGAAATTCTCTTAAGTGCATAAATTTTTGTCTCGTGTATGCATACAATTTTTTCACTTTCGCCAAGGTCTCGGTGGTGATATTATTCAAATACTAAGTCAATTCGTCAGAATAGCATTTGCAGTGCTCAGACTTTACTAATTTTTCATTGTATTTTGGGAAACAGAAACTCGAACTAAATCTCAAGTACCTACGGTGAGGAGGTGAATCTGTTTTAAGGAAACTACGTTTAGACGGGCCCCGATTTGAAAGTTTATTATCTCTTTTGTTATTTCCTACAATTTTGGATTACTTTTTTCGTTTTTAACGTAATTAATAAAATTATTTTAATTTGCAATATTTTGGCTAAGGAGCTTAAAACAGAATCATAACAGACAAGTTTATTTAGTTTTATTGAGAAGTAATATTCGTTTGATTTTCAGAAATAAAAACCAAACTAATCAATAAGGATGTGGCATCTGAAAACTCGGCTCCAAGTCCAAGTTTTATAGTGACTCAAAAGCCAAGTTCTGTCTTCGCTAAATTGCCAAACTATGCTATAAGCGAGACTGTAGCTCAACCAACTAGACATGTAGTTACTGTTCGGTTAATCATGGAGAAAAATCGAAGTTGAATTTCAAAAGGCAGCAATAAAAAATGTTGTTTTACTTGACCATCTTGAATCTTGCGAACTTCTTCACTAAAACTGCTCCTAAACTCAAAAGGGGTGAGGAAGATGGTCAAACTGTCAGTGTACTTAACGCGTGGAAACATTTAATTTTTTTTGCGCCGAAACTACATCATGAACATCTTAACAGACTTGGTATACGTGTATAGTATTATGATAACTATTAGCGAGTTATGGGAGTCATTGGATCGAAAATATAAGACTAAGAATGTCGGGGTTAAGTAGTACATTGTTGGCCGATTCTTGGATTATACGATGGTGGACTCCATAATAGTAATCAGTTAAGTGTAAGAACTCCAAATAATTCTTCATAAAATTCATGCTGAATGGATGATTTTGAGTGAAACTTTCCAAGTAGTTGCAATTATTGAAAAATTGTCACCTCGCATGAAAAGATTTTAAGAATTATCTTAAACACAAGAGAAAGGAAATGAACATTGTAGAACTGATTGTTAGATTTCGAATTGAAATAGACGATAGAAATTCGGAAAAGAAAGGATTCAATCCTATTGTGGCTAAAGTCAATGTTATTGATCATGGTCAAAGTTCTAAGACCTTCAAGAACAAATATGAGGTATATGGTGGCAAATGTGGAAAGTTGGAACCAAAATAGGGCATGTCTAAGAAGAAATTTCGAGAAAAATGCTTCAATTATGACAAAGTAGGCCATAAGTCTTCGGAGCACAGATTGCCAAAGATTAACTACATGACATATGATGTGTCGGAAATGAATCCCGCAATCGTCATTTCTGAAATGAACATGGTGGGTTTTAATCCAAAAGAGTTGTGGATTGACACGGTGCTACGAGACATGTACACTTTGATAAATAGTTTGCTGCATTTGAATCAATTGAGAATAGGGAAACATTGCTTATGGAAAATTTAGCAACTTCTGAAATTAAGGGTCAATGAAAGGTGATTTTGAAGATGACTTCGGAGAAAGAATTAACTCTTAATAATAGTTGTATGTGCCGAAAATCCGTAAGAACCTAGTGTACAGGTCACTTTTGAATAAGCATGGTTTCCGTATTGTATTTGAGTCAGACAAAATTATTTTATCAAAAAGTTGAATGTTTGTCGGAAAATGTTATGTTTTCGATGGTATGTTTAAACTGAATGTAATGATTGTGAAGTCGAAAATTAATACTTGATTGAGTCTTCCAATTTGTCGCATGGTAGACTAGGATATGTTGGTTATGATATATTGCGTAAATTAATTAACTTGAATTGCATACCTGCATTCCACATTGATTCTAAGTCTAAGTGCGAAACTTGTGTTGAAACAAAATTGACAAGGTCTTCATTTAAATTAATTGAACAAAAAACAGAACCACTTGATTTAATG